GCAGAGGGACCTGGGACCAGGGATGGAAGGCAGGACAAGGGGGAATAGCTTCCCAGTGCCAGAGGGAGGGACAGATGGGATATTGGGAAGGAATTCCTGTCTTTGAGGGTGGTGAGACACTGTGCCAAGTTGCCCAGGGAGGCCCCTGGCAGTGTTCACAGCCAGGTTAGATAGAGCCTTGAGCAACCTCTGCTGGGAGGTGTCCCTGGCCAGGGCAGGGGGTTGGGGCTGGGTGGTCTCTAAGGTCCTTTCCAATCTCTTAACATTCTGTGGCACCACAAGCCTCACAACAAGCGAAATAACCACACTCCACCACACATGGAAGGCTCAGGCCTTACGTTTTATTGTTGTAGATGAGAAGCAGATCTGGCTTGTGATTAGCTGAGCACACTCAGGTAACAAAGTAAAGCCATCCCTCTCATTATCCCCTTTACCAGCATGTGACGCTGAGGTTTTGGAACAACATTAAATAACAGCTCACAAAGCGAGATGGAAAGTCCGAGCGGAGGCAACACGCTCCGTTTGCTCCTTGCGGAGTTAATATTACACCTTAACTGTGGGCCCTTGAGACAATATTCAACAGCAAAACTGTTCCTTTCACGTGGCCACAATAAACAGTCCTTTGGGCCTCTGGTGAAGACGTAACAACCCAAGGAAAAATGGCTTCTGGTTCCAGAGGACGTGGCGACCGAGGAAAACGCCGGCGCAAAAAAAAGAAACACCCGGCGGTGGTTGGACCCCCGCCGATGGCTCGTGTCGGCGTCTCCGTGTCTAACCCAACAGCAGCAAACAGGTGGGTAGGCCAGAGGAGAGTTTTATCAGTCAGCTCTCTCACACTGCTGATCTTATCCCTCAGGTCTGAGCTCCACCAGCTCCCAAACATCCAGTTCCCAGTGCGTCTCCCGCCGGAGGTTAGCGCGGTCAGCTCCTCTTCTGGGTGGCTCCAGGGAGGGACGGGGCACAACTGTGGCTGCTGCCACCCCCTCCTCCTCTCAGCACACACTCACTCCAGCCCTGCAATCCCATTCCCAGCCTCTGCTGGCTGCTGCTGGGTGCACGGCAAAGCTGCGCGGGACCACGGGCAGGGAGCTGGGACTGGAGCTGCTCCATCTGCTTCCCGGCGTCTGAATCTCTCCCACCACCAGCCAAAGTGCTGAGCTTGAGTTGAGGTATATCAATTACCTGTGACACACTGGAAACCAACCCTCTGTTTCTGCCTCGTTTCGCCTTTCTAAACCACTCTGGGGAGACAGCCAAACGCTCGAAGCGAAGACCAGAGCCCAATGGCTTTGCCTACCAGATGTTTTCTCCAAGGGCTTTGCCTTCCCCAGCCCTGCCCCAGGATGTGCATCCCATCCCTCCCATCCACACAGCTGGCAGCCTTCACACCTACTCTGCTACTCAGCCTAAGGTGAGACCTGCACAACAGGAACACGTTTTGGGGCTTGCCAAGGCTTAGCACAAGCTCTTCTACAGCTAAACCTGCACCTGATCCCACCAAGAAGAGAAATCAGGGTTAATACAGTAAATGCTGCTGTTAAGTTATCTAAGTCTCACATGAGTTTTCTTCACAGCTCAGAGCGTTTAGTAGATTTCTTGTTAAAAGGGTACAAATACTTCATGTGGGAATAGTTAAATATGGACCTTGGAGTTGCTAAGTACAGCAGTTCCTCTGTCCCTGGGCTTGGGCAGCACAGGGACACGATGGCAAGGAAAGCAGAGACTTGGCTTTTAGGACACTATTTACAGGTTCTCCCCCTAAAAAAAAAAAAAACCAACCGCTGAGTTTGATTAAAGGTAAGTGTAGAACATTTCTCCCACGTACGAACCCTCGTTAGCTGATTAATGCTTAAGGTGCTCAGAAGTGTGGATGAAAACCAGAGTTACAGTAGATCAGCTGTGTCGTTGTCTATTTACACACCTTCCAAAGGAGCTGGAAGCAAAGTGGCCCCTTGTGAATCTGATGCCACAGAGGCTGTTGTTTTCCTCACAGCATCTTTGTCAGGAGGCACAACAGTAGTACTTTAGCTCCTGTTTTCAGTAGCAGAGGTGGGTGCCCTTGCTGGGCCCAGGCAGCACCACACCATGGGTCACTCTGTTTCTAGCTCTCAGCTCCTGTCCAGCCCTTACCACTGGAAATTGCTGGTCCCAAGGCAGGACTCACAGCACCAGGTTGTGACACTGAAATGCATCGTGTGGAGCCTCCTAAGTCCTCAGAGACCTCAGATCTACCCCACGGCAACAGAAGGGAAAGTGTAGGTGTGGGAAAGCAAACGAGGAGAATGAGCCTAGCAAAAAAATTCTGCCTTCCCACCAGAAAAAACAAAGTGATCCCCTAAGTGGCTCATATTTTGTAGGTCAAGTTTCTTCCCCGTTAACATCCCCTAAGAGTTATTTCATGTCTGATGGACAAACTCTACCTCTAGTTCCACCCTCTGCTGACCGGCAGTCAGCCACAGACACTGCCTGGCATTGCTTCTCTCCCTACCTGTGCTCACACAGGTGCCTCAGAGGAGCTCAGAGCTCAGAGTTTTGGGAACCTGCCAAACCAGGAGGGTGTCTGACCACACTGAAAATGCTGATTTTGCCCTTGTCATTCTAAGTTGCTATAGAAAAAGAAACGAAAACAAGTTGATTTGACTTCTGTTTGCGAACTTACCATGTACCGTCATTTTTTTTCCCCTTGTACATCTAAGTTTCAAACAGGTCCCAGAGATTGCAAGGCAAGAGTGTTAAGGCAGTATAAGAAAGTCAGTATTTCATTCACACCTCTTGATCCCCTTAGAAGGACTTCTAAGGCATCAAAAGGGGCATGTGGTTTGTGCTGGCCTTTGCAGGAAAAGGCATTCCGTACCGTGTAAAAAACAGATGCTTGGTGACAGTCGGAAGCCGCTCAGCCCTGGACGATGGGCACGTCATCCAAGAGGGAGAGGGAGACACGGGGAGGGTCCCTCACCACCTCTCCTTCTGGTACACCTCTGTCTGCACAATCTCACTGGGGTGCTCAGAGATGCAGGCGCCGTTGATTTCATTCAGCTTGTTGTCTGGAAGATCCTCGGGTTTTGTGCAAAGTTTCAGCGCTCTGGAGATGAAGACATCCAGGTTGAACTCGGGGTCTGTTTCGCCGCTCACCTCTGCGGGCTCCTTGTGGAGGTGGTGAGGAGAGGAGGGCAGGCTGCGCTCCTGAATCTCTGGGAGAGAGCTGGGGCACTCGAGCCCCACCTGTGTGCTCTTCACCCACTGAGCGATCTCCAGAAAGAGGTTGGAAGGCTCTTCTTCCAGCGACAGCTCAGCTGCAGGTGCTATGGTTGCTCTTTTCCAGTGGGATAAATCCAAGATCAGCTTGGGCTCTGAGTAATGATGGGGTTTGCTGTCCCTCCACAGCAGTTTGTCCAGGTAGGAAGGTGACCCCACTTTGTAGTCACACGACTTCCCGCAATCCGCATCAAACACTCGGTCCATGGATGAGTGGGACAGCTCCAGGAACCTCTCCGAGCTGCTCTGGGAGTATTTCCGTGGATCAACCTGTGCCTCCTCAGCGGTGGATTCCGACCCTGCCCGGGGGTCACGCTGAACCTCATCCATCTCGTGGTGTTTGTCGTGTCTCCACTCCACATCCGAGGAGAGGCTGACGTGGTACCTGTGAAAGACACGGTGCCGTGAGAAGCACAGGCAACGGCTCTGCTGGAAACACCAGCGCCCAAACCAACACTGCTGCTGCTACTTTTGCCTTTTTCTTGCTAATTTGCCACTTACCTGCAGATCTCTCACATCTCGTTAGTATGAGAGACCTTTATCTTGGGTGTTAAAAATGCAGAGGGGTGAGCAATTTACCCAGAGCCTGAACTGGGACCAGAAGCAGGAACAAAAGGCCAACAACCAAACCAACTGGGCCTTTCCTTTAGTCCTTCGTCACCTTCCCTCCGCTTGGGATTAAAGCGCAATTGGTTGGACGTGAGGAAGAGTTTCTTCCCAGAAAGGGTGGTTAGACACTGGGATGTGCTGCCCAGGGAGGTGGTGGAGTCACCACCCCTGGAGGAGTTTAAGGACAGACTGGACGTGGCACTTAGTGCCGCGGTCTAGTTGACGTGGTGGTGTTAGGTCATAGGCTGGACTTGGTGATCTCAGAGGTCTTTTCCACCCTGATTGATTCTGTTGTTCTGTAATTAACAGCATTAGTCATCAAACTGTCCCTCAGCCCATACACAGGTGGTGTGAGTTGTTTGGTCGTTGGCTCCTTGTTAGGTGCCTTAAAAGGGATGAGCTTAAATCCTCACAAAGACATCACCAGTTTATCCTGATGTCAGGGACCAAGGGCATCCCTGAGGGTCACCTTGCTAAGTGACAACTCTTCTCAAGCCAGTTGAGCTCCCTTGATTGCAATTACCTGACAAGACCCATTCTTAGCCCTGGTCTTCACGGTGACATCTAATTTACTAGTTCCTACCTGATCTGCCTTCGAAGAACATGTTATCCCTGGTACTTGGGCTCTGTCACAGCAATAAAATGCTCTTCAGGTGTCCCACAACACAGAGGCAAAATCGTCTCCTGTCTCCAAAACACTCAGCTGCAAGATTTATGGCCCTATGGCAGATGTGCCCAGCTGTGTGGAGGACAGACAGTCTCGGTCGCCGTTCCTTGTGTCTCACCAAGAAAGCCAAGAGACAGAAAGGTGACAAGGTGACCTCCAGCAACTGATTTGCTGCTTTGGGGACTATGACTGGCAGGGATGCTGGAGCTGTGGGGATACACAGAAGACAGATGTCCTGAGAAAAGCTTCCAGCTTTCCTCTCTGCCTAATTGACCTGGTTGTCCCCTCCAGCCTCCAGGTGACACTTGTTCAGTCAGGCAAAGAGATTAATAGCAGTGAAGGCAAGGGATTTCTTTAGGTAATGCTTTCAATGCTGGTGAAATGCAGTGGATTAAGAAGGCAAAGAGATTAAAGTGTTACACAGAAAGGAACAATGCTGCAGGCATCCTCAGGCAGCTCATCCTGCTCAGCTGGAAGGAGCTCTATAGAAAAATGAACCTTCTTAGCTGCTTATTTCGCCCTACCTGCTCCAGGACTGGCTCAGGAATTGGATTAATCCTCTAGAACATGTGAAACCTCAGCTCAAAGCCTTGATCTGCTCTAAACTTCCTGTATGACTTTCAGCAAACCACTTAAATGTCAACAGAGCTAAGGATTTTTTACCAGACCCCCCAGACCTGTTGCCTCTGGGGCTCAGGCACCTTGAAAAGTGACAAATATAGAGCTCCAAATCAGGCTCTGTCCCCAAAAGGTACAAGAGTGACATTATTTTATAACCTCTGCTACAGGGAGAGAGGACAGACGAAAGAGCCACAGAGTCACACTCAAATGAAGACAGTACAGGCTGTGAACAAAACCAAGAGCAGAAAGGCACTCAGAACTGGGATGTGCAGGCTCAACACCTACATCCTGTAGCAATCAGTGATGTACCTCTTGTGCCAGCTTGCTCTGGAATTACAGTATGGCATGAAGAAGGAAAAGAAGGTGTTTTTCATAGCTCTGGAACATGTTTGATGGAATCCAATCAAGAGCAGGTAGGAGACTCACCAGTCATAGAATCATAGAATCAACCTGGTTGGAAGAGACCTCTAAAGTCATTGAGTCCAACCCTACCATGGTCACTAGCCCATGGCACTAAGTGCCACATCCAGTCTCAGCTTGAAAACCTCCAGGGATGGGGAATCCACCACCTCCCTGGGCAGCACATTCCAATGCCTGAGCACTCTCTCCACAAAAAATCTCTTCCTAAGATCCAACCTAACCCTCCCCTGGCAGAGCTTGAGTCTGTGCCCTCTTGTCCTGCTGCTGTTGCCTGGGAGAAGAGACCAACCCCCACCTGACTCCAACCTCCTGTCAGGGAGTTGCAGAGGGTGCTAAGGTCTCCCCTGAGCCTCCTCTTCTCCAGGCTGAACACCCCCAGCTCCCTCAGCCTCTCCTCATGCCACTTGTGCTCCAGTCCCTTCCCCAGCCTCGTTGCTCTGCTCTGGACCTGCTCCAGCCCCTCAATGTCCCTCCTGAACTGAGGGGCCCAGAACTGCACACAGTATTCAAGGTGTGACCTCACCAGCACCGAGTGCAGGGGCAGAATCACCTCCCTGGTCCTGATGACCACACTGTTCCTGATACAGTCAAGTCCTGCCTCAAGAATTTAAGCCATGGTTTGATCTCTGGCCCATCCCTGGGTACTGTACCTGTCCCAGTTGGACATCTGGCTCTGGTTGGCCTCCATCAGCAAAATGTCATCAATCTCATCCTCGATGCGGAACGGGTGCTGAGACACTGGCTCATCCTCGGGGCAGGAGTATGGACTCATGTAAGGATGCTGCAGACCCATCTCGGCCGTCAGTCGATCCATGGGGTTAAATGTCAGGATTTTCTCCAGGAAATCAATAGCTGTGAAGCAGAGAGAAACAAGCTCACTGACTCCTCAGGAGCAATAACAGCTTCTGCTCCAGGATGAGCTTTGTGAAACCTCCGTAATAAATCCCATCGAGGCAAGGAAGGAATTAAGGGTCACACCGCGTGTGCACCTAAATCAGGTACTGCTGTCCCTGCTGCATCCATCTACCTCTCACAGGAGCTGTGAGCTTGCAGCAGAGCAATCCTGCAGCCCTCAGGTGTCACCTCACCTAGCATTGCAGGGGAAGGGACTGAGAGCCTCACACACCTCCACAGGCTGTGGGTGTGCTGTGCCCAGCGCTGAGATCTCGGGCAGAACGCTCAAGGCAAACACCAGAAGCCTTTGGGTGGTGCTGGGATTTGATTCCATGCTCTCAGACCCATCTGACAAGTGTGCTGCATTTCAGACAGCTGATCTCACACCTTCATGGGCACCTGAAGTGGATTAGATTTACTCCAGCACTATGAAATTATTTCACCCACTAACAGGACTTGAGAGATTGTGGTGCACAAACTCTTCCTCTGAGCTTGGATGATCCTTGTGGGTCCCTTCCAACTCAGAACATTCAGTCTTCATGATGATGAAGGAGAAAGTCTTAAGTGAAGTTAAAATAAACAGAATTAAATCTAAACACAGAGGGTTGGTTGTGTCTTCTTTGATTGGTTCCTTTTACTGAGGTCACCAAAGTCATTGCTTATTTTCTTGGTGCATAGGAAAGCCCCTTTGACTTCAGACACTGCAAACAGGAACATGCCTTTCTTCAGACACAACTTTACCACACACCATCAGAAACATCCCAAAATAAAAGTGCACTTTTGTGACTGAGACAGTTTCTTTAGGGGCAGAAACCACTCAGCAGAAAGGGCAGCCAAACCTACTGCTTCAGTGCTTAAACATTAACCACTATCCAATTGTCTCCCCCGAGATTATTTCACCACTTGGACTAATTAAGTAGGAGGGAATCAATAGCCTCATAAGGTCACTGACTGCATGGTGGAATGACATACTGCAAATCATACACTGCAATGTATTACAGGTCAGAGAGGCAGGAAAATGACAATGAATTATGTCAGGGGCACAGGTGACCTTTCCTCCTGCAGTAATGGCAGGGAATAAATCCATTCCTGCCTGCCAGAGGATGATGTGGTCCTGGGTACCTCGGGATGATGGGTATCACACTGCCAAGCCCATACAGATGCTGGATAAAGTCTTGAGCAATCTGCTCTGGTGGGAAATGTCCCTGCCCAGGGCAGGGGCTTGGGGCTGGATCATCTCTAAGGCCCATTCCAACCCCTTAACATAGAGTCATTCCATGATTCTGTGTCTCAGAACAAAGAGTTACACCAGTGAGCACCAGCTGAGCGTGGTCTGGATGTCTTCCCAAAACCAGGTGGCCAGGTCCAGCTTAACCCCTAGAAATACCTCAGGACTTGGACAATGTTCCTGTTTATACCAACCATCTCTGGGAGCTCGGATTGCTGTGAGGTAAGAGGATGTATCTTGCTGTGCAACGGTGTGCACGCAGAAAGCTCAGCAAAAAAACAAACAGGCCTTGAAAAGAACCTCTGGGCTCGAACCTTCGCTTGAGGAGAGGCACAGGAAGGCAGGGATGCCCCTTCAGGGAGTCTTGGAATAGAGCTGGAGATTATTTCACCCTTGGGAGCTACCTGTGAGAAAGCTACAGCATGACAAGTGCTGTCCTTCACCTCACACCCTCCCTGGCTGATGGTGAGCAGGACCCAGGGACAGCAGTGGGGATGTGTGAGGTGTGCCATGCTCTGCAAACCCCCAGGTATCTGAGTCCTCACCCAGAGCAAAGCCTCAGAAGGAGATAAAGCAATAAGAAAAGCAAAAGATACAGAGGGACACTCTCCAAATACCAATCCTGGGCGAATTAATTCGCTTGCCTACAGAAAAAAACCCCCACTTTAGGTCATTTAGAGGTTCACACAAGGTTCCAAGAGGAGCTAGGTGTTCATGCACTTGGCCTTTGAGGGCAACTCCTGTGACATCCCAGGGAAACAGGTCTGAAAACACATCAGCCAGGGGAAGTCCTGGGAGGAACACTGCCCAAACCAGTGGGCACTGTGGTACCTTCACTGTCCACTTCAGGCAGCAGCTTGCGCAGAGGCTTCCTCACTTCCCACGTGCTGTTGATGAACGTGGGCATCACCTTCAGCAGCTCCTCTTTGTCCTCCTGGTGGATAACAGGGATTGTCTCCAGGATGAGTTGCATCTGCTCCAGCTCATGACCCCCTAGACAGGCAGAAAACAGGCAGTGAGGTGAGACACAGAAGATAAATCAGGGGGAAGTGTGGTATTATCAACTCCAGGGGTCACAAAGCTTCATCTTTACAGGAATGCAACTGCCCTCACTGCATCACCAAGAAAAGTGTTTCTGACCAGCTTCCACTGGCTGCTGAGCACCAAGTCATGGCTCTGGTGGTGAATCATAGAATCATAGAATCAACCAGGTTGGAAGAGCCCTCCAAGATCATCCAGTCCAACCCTCCCGTGGTCACTAGCCCATGGCACTAAGTGCCACATCCAGTCTCAGCTTGAAAACCTCCAGGGATGGGGAATCCACCACCTCCCTGGGCAGCACATTCTACTGTCTGATAACTCTCTCCATAAAAAATCTCTTCCTAATATCCCACAACTGCTATGTGCAATCATATATTTTTAATCCTTTAGATCAAATGTTAGGAATTTTTTTTCTCTGTGAGGGTGTTCAGGCACAGGGATATTGCCCAGGGAAGTGATGGAGTTACCATCCCTGGAGGTGTTTGAGAGCTATCTGGATGCGGCCCTGCAGGATCTGGTTTAGGGTTTAGGGGTTCCAGCAGTGACAGGTCAATGGGGGAACTTGATCTTAGAGGTCTCCTCCAACCTCGATGACTCTATGATTCTTTTCCTTTAGGACATATTAATCCACACCTCCCCAGGCCCCTGCCCAGGACTGGTTACTGGTTAGTGGGGGCAGAGGAGCAGCAGTGCCAGCAGAGCAGAGCCAGGCACCTCATTAGTGGATGCTAATCCCATTCTTCAGCACACTACTGGATGTGACCAAGAGCTCTGTGGCTCATTTCCAGCCTCCTACGTGTGCAGAGCAGCAGCCTGGCAGGAACACTGAGTTGCACTATTGATCTTCTGCCTGCCAGAGATACTGGTTATACATATTCTGTCAGTGGAGGCAGGACCAGCCATTCAGACACCAACCTGGCTAGGGCAGCAAACCAATGGGGATTTTGGGGCTACCTGCTGTCCAAGTCATGGATTTCAGGCTGCTGCACTGGCAAGCAGTGCTCAGTTAATCCATGGCAAGAGGACTCAACCTCATTTACAGCACAGCAGCTCTGATCGGTCTGCAGGGAGCGTGGACAGCCCAGCACACAGGGGATGGTGGAGACCACTGTCCTCAGAAAAATCTGTCCCTTTAGAGGCCTCTGGCACTCACAGGGGTTGCTTTCCCCAGCTCACAGCTCTCTGTGGGTCTGCAGGAGGTTTCCAGACTCACACCCATGGAGCTGACCCCAAACACAACCTCCCTGGGCAAGGATAGGTCCAGTCATGGACACTGGGAAAGGGTCTTGATCCATCGTGGCCTTGTCACCCCAACAAGGTTTGGTTTGATGCAGTTGTGGCCACTACTACCCCAAATGGCAGAGCTCAGAGTCATAGAATCACAGAAGATATCCACAGTTGGAAGGGGCCCACAAGGATCATCAGTCCAACTCCTGTCCCTGCCCAGGACACTCCAACAATGCTCCCTGTGCCTGAGAGCATTGGCCAAACTCTCCCTGAGCTCTGTCAGCCTTGGGGCTGTGACCACTGCCCTGAGGAGCTGTTCAG